TCTCTCCCCTGACCTCCACACCACCCTGGCCCTCCTCCAGAACGTCCTCAGAACTCTCCTCTGGCTCCCTCTGGGGCTTCTCAGGTGCCACTCTCCCCCTTTAGGCTCCCCACGTTTGGGGCAGACTCGAGTTCGTTGACATCTGCTCTCCCACCTCTCTCCCGGAACTCCCTGTCAGTCTGAAGTGAGAAGCAGGCACCCCATGGCCACCTTGGGTGACATCCGTCACACTCCTTCAAAACAGCCCCTCACCACCTCCCTCCCGGCCCACGCCTCCTAGACACGGAGGGCTTTGGCAGTCATCTAAGTGTTTGGCTGCCTCGTGTTTTACAAATAAGTTTATTTCTCCATGAGCAAGCGCAAGAGCGAAGCCGCTTCCACCAGGTCGTGCTGCCGCAGCGTGTCCTCAGCAGCCCCATCTGGCTTGCGTGTGCCATGCGTGTCGGAAGGTCTCCGGACGCAACCCCGAAGCCTTCCTCTGCGGGTTCAGCTTGCGGGACGTGGTGCTTTGCTGCAGTGCCGCCATCTGGCACTTTATTTAAAACATTTAATTTAAGGTAAAATATGTGTGTGGGGGGGCACTCCGCAGGGTGGCCACTTCCTCTGTTGTCCCGCCCAGCGGGTTCTCGGCTCACACGCACGTGCAAGGATGTTTTCAGGGGGTCAGGCCAGGGACTAGAGCCCTGGCCAGCCCGATGCTCCCAGCTCTGCAGCCCAGTGCACTACAGACCACCCACAGAGACTGGGCCTGCCCGTTTTACATTTTACTGTTGCTTTGCCCTGAAACGAAAAGAATTGTGTCAGCGCTCCAGCCAAAGTAAGAAAACGCTCTTCTCATTTCATTATATTCATTGTTTATTTTTTCATATTGCCAGAGGACAAGTGTGCTTACCAGAGAGAGACAGAGAGGCAGAGAGAGACATAAAGAGAGAAAGCACCCCCCCGATGGGTCAGACCCTGCCACAGTCACTTCCCTCCACTCTGTTCTGCTGGGGTTCGGGGCACGCGCGCAGGTGCACCTGGCGAGGTTCTCAGGCCACCAGGGTGGGGATACCCGTGCTGCCGGGCGTGTGCGCAGGCCGTGAGCTGGCCGGACCCGTGTTCTCCATCTGCGACTGGTCCTTCCAGGTTTGTCCCCGCGCAGTCGCTTCCCCTCCCTCTGCTCTGGGGTCTGGCCTGCCATCATCACTTGCTAGAGTGGCGGACGGCCGCTGCCAGAGGGACGCTCCGCCCTGGCCTGCAGTCCTGTGGGGCCAAGCGACCTGTGCCCCTTCTATGCGGGAGTCAGAGCATGGCACCCTCTGCCTCCAGGACAGCTCCGCTCACTCAGAAAAGCCACGCCCAGAGGCCCACCAGGGCTGCTCCAGGCTCGCTTCGCCTGCCCCCACTCTGCTCCACCTCTGCAGTCTCTGACCTGCCTCCCCTTCTTCTGACAGGCCAGAGGCCCTGGCTCAGTGTCCGCACACGCGCCTCCAGACACCCCCAGGCCCACTCTATGCTGCCAGGCCTCTTCTTGAGGAGCACAAGGAGGCTCTCCATGGCCTGTTTAACCCTCGCACCGAAGGCCTGAGCCCCGCCTTCCCCGCACGTCCACCAGCCAATGGACGCACGGCTCCCTCCATCCTCTCTTGCTTCGCCTCTCCCCTCTGGCCCGTGTCTCCTCACCTCGGAGGGCAGGGATCTTGGTGGTCCCTGCTGTCCCTTCTATCACTACGGTGCTTAGCAATGTCTCAGTTAAAGGAATAACGGGGGAG